AATATAAAGAAACACAAGTGCAGAATTCATAGGATAGATTAAAAAACATTTGGTACAAAATCCCCAGGAGATTTGAGCTGAGAGTTCAGAGTGAGTCAACCATGTGATGAGACGATCATGAAAAAAGCAAGTGCCTTCATAGGTTTCATTATTAGAAATAAAGTGTCTAGACAGCCCTGCTCTCCTCCTAGCTGCTCAGAGCTTCCTGTAGAGTTCTGAGTGGTTCTGAGTCTTAATTTCTGAGGGTCAGAAAAGCCCTGAAGTCTAACCCAGGAAGAGAGAAAATGCAAAGCCAAGTCACAAGGGGTCAACTGAAGGAACCTGGTGTGTTCACCCAGAGGCAGGATGGACCTGGGTATGTGGTCATGATTTCTGTCTTCAACATAGATAGGTTTCCATGTGAGTTGATGTAGGTGGCCCACAGGACCTGTGAGTGAAAACTCTGGAAGATTTTATCTCAACATTGGGAAGAATTTTCTATTGATCTCAGTTGTCCCTGAATGGAATACAAGATAATGAATGCCCCCTTTGCAGGGGCTGAGTAGGGGGAGATCTGGCAGAGAGAGAACAGCTCAGGGAGGAGATAATAAAAGGACTGGAAGAGAAGACCTAAACATCCATTGCTTTATTTTTCATCCCTCTTGTAAGGAAAAGTTTTTCCTGGGGAACCACCCTCAGCCACTCTCTGTCCTCTGCATCTGGGGGAATTGAGTGTACACCCGATTTCAGGAATTTCAGGAATGTGTTTCCCAGGCCTGACGGGTCTGCACTGCATCTCGCCAGAACAGGTCCAGCTTCAGGAGCACTCACGTAACCCACACTGAGTCAGTCGGAACCTGGGAGACCCAATTCTGGGTCTCTCACTTTCTGCTGGACTTGAAGCAGGTGGGATGTAAGCCTGGGGCTGTGGGGGCCCTGCTGTCATCACAGAGAGAGACTGACTATACGTCAGCCTTTCTCCCACCCTTCTTAAAACAAAACAAACAAACAGAAGAACTGGAAAACAGAAAACACTGGAGCAGAGTTGCAGAGAGACTAAGTTCTGACAACATCCTTCGTGCCCTTGAAGCCCATGCCTGAAGCCAGCCTTGGCTCGGAAGAGCAGATAAGCTCCCTTTCCTCCCTCAAGTTAGTGGAGCTGGGTTTCTGTTGTTTGCAACCGTAAGAGTCCTGATCACCGTGGGAACACTAAGACTTCATACAGTTGCACCCTGGTGGATCCACCTCTCACACTTAAAGCAATAGCCACCTGCGTGCACAAGTCCATTTGCCCAGAAGAAGCCGAGAATGGCTGTGGAATGGGAGCCGCTGCCTCCAGGCATAACACACTGCACTGCAGAAGGAGGAATGGAGAATCAGAAAAGGGTGAGTTATTGAGTCAAAGAGCATTCTGCACCGCTGAGAAGCTGGCAGGTGGGGCCGCTGCCCCAGGCCCAGGCCCAGGAGGGACGCCTGGCCTGGAAGCCACTCCGGCAGAGGCAATGCAGGAAGGTGACTCAGCAGATGGTAAAGGAATTCCATGCCCCATGTGGCACTGTCTCCATCTCTACTTCCCACGTGAGAAAACTGAGTCACTGAAAGACCTGCTCAGGGTCTCACCACCAGTGAGAGGCAGTTCTGAGACAGATCCCAAAGCCCAGGGGTGGTGCCTCCTGCAGATGATGGCAGCTGGCCCTTCTCGGGCTTTACCTTCTCATCTGTAAAATGGGCTGGGTGATGATCCTGTTCCCCAGTTTGACCAGGGACCAGCCTCTGCAGAGCTGTTCTCATGTAAAGATGCAGGCCTCGATGCTGAGATCATCCATAACTGATAGGATACACAGGGCCACACTGTGCTAAATCAGCCTGTCAGGCTCATCCCCAGTTCCCTCCTGGCCCAGAGGGGCCGGGTCATTTCCTTTGTTCTACAGGCACAGGCCTGGTAACAAGGCAGCCAGGAGCTCAGCTGTAGACATTTCTTCATTATTTTCCACCCTGTTAACCTCCATCACAAGTGAGGCTGCTGTCAGCCTAAATGAGAGCTGAAAAGATTTATCTCACTTGTCCAGGGCTCAGCTCAGGAAAAGACCCTCCATTTCCTAAAGGCCCTAATGAGCTTTCTCTGTGAGTGCCTCTCACCCAGGAAAAAAGATGTGGTGGTGGTGGCTGCAGGCGGGGGCCTGTGAGGGGACCAAGTGGTCTGAATCACTTCTGTATGGCTTTGCAAAGCGCCATGTGAATGTTTATTATTATACTGTATTTACCTTCCTAATTATGTTTGCTTATGCAAATATTAAAGTTAGATTACACTTCAAAGAAATAGAACAGAAACAATAGGATGGGAAAGACTAGAGATCTCTTCAAGAAACTTGGTATCTAAGAGATACCAAGGGAACATTTCATGCCAAGATGGGCACAAAAAAGGACAGAAATGGTATGGACCTAACAGAAACACAAGATATTAAGAAGAGGTGGCAAGAATACACAGAAGAACCATGCAAAATGATCTTCATGATCCAAATAACCACAATGATGTGATCACTCTGCTAANAAGGGGAAAAAGTAGAAGTAATGGCAGACTTTATTTTCTCAGACTCCAAAATTGCTGCAGATGGTGGCTGCAGCCATGAAATTAAAAGACCCTTGCTCCTTGGAAGGTAAACTATGACAAACCTAGAGAGCATATTAAAAAGCCAGAGACATTACTTTGCTGACAAAGGCCCATCTAGTCAAAGCTATGGTTTTTCCAGTAGTCATGTATGGATGTGAGAGCTGGACAATAAAAAAAACTGAACGCCAAAGAATTGATGCTTCTGAACTGTGGTGTTGGAGAAGACTCTTGAGAATCCCTTGTACTACAAGGAGATCCAATCAGTCAATCCTAAAGGAAATCAATGCTGAATATTCACTGGAAGGACTGATGCTGATCCTGAAGCTCCAATACTTTGGCCACCTGATATGAAGAGCTGATTCATTGGAAAAGACCCTGTTGCTGGGAAAGATTGAAGGCAAAAGGAGAAGAGGACGGCTGAGGATGAGATGGTTGGATAGCATCACCGACTTAATGGGCATTAATTTGAAAAAACTCCAGGAGATAGTGAAGAACAGGGAAGACTGGCATGCTGCAGTCCATGGGATCGCAAAGAGTTGGACTCAACAACAACACTTCATAAACACAGCCCCAGGAAGAAATCAGAGCATATTGTGCAGCAGGAGGGAATTAGCTTGCAGTTACAATTTTGCCATAGAAGACATCCTCAAAGCGGACAATCCACATACAGACCAGGGAGAGATGACTGTACTTCAAACCAACTTGGCATCTTCCTCTGTGTGCCTGGCAATCCCTGGTCACCTCTTCCCTAAAACTGGCACCAGGCAAGAAAGGATGAGCTGTATCATTTAAATAGTAATAGTCTCCTACACTAGCATAATAACAACCAGCTTCCTGAACATTTATTGAGTGCCAGGCTCTGCTTTCCATGTTTTACAGGGACTAACAACTCTCCTAACCCAAGCAGCTTGCCTTGTGGGTATTTCTATCCCCATTTCACAAATAAGGAAACTGAGGCTCAGAGAGTTTAAGTAACAAACCCAAAGACATACAGCTAATAAAAGATGCAGCCAGGAATATGAACCCTGAGATTTAAGAATTCTGGACCCAAGACAACACCCTGAACTTCTTCCCAATAACAGCCACCTCCTTCACATGCACCACTTCATTTAACCCTCACACTGCCCTTGGGAAGTAGATGATCTTAACCTCATTTGATAGACAAACAAATGAGCAATCTTTGACCTTAAAATTCCTGTTGCAGAATTGATCTTAAGAAAACAGCAGTAGCCCATCAAATGATGAATGAATAAGAAACTTGTGGTGTATATATATATATATTTTTTTAATATATATATATATAAATATTATCCAGCCATAAAAATGATGAAATTCTGCTATTGGAACAATATGGATTAACCTAGAGAATATTATGTTTAATGAAATAAATCAGAAAAGACAAATACTCTATTATATCATTTATATGTGGAATCCGAAAAAATAATACAAACGAATGTATATGCAAAAAAGAAACAGACTCACAGATACAGAAAACAAATATAACCAGTTGCCAAAGTGAAAAGGAGCAAATAAGAGGTATGAGGTTAAGAGATACAAACTACAGTGAATGAAATAAATAAAAAATAAGGACATACTGTATAGCACAGGAAAATATAAACATTACCTTGTAATAACTTTTAATGGAGTACAATCTGTAAAAATAGTGAGTCACTATGCTATATACCTAAAACTAATTTAAATAAACTATACCTACATTTTTAAAAAATAGCAGTGAATATGACAAAGGTGTATATAGAAGAAGCTCACAGCAGCAATATTTAAAATAATATGGAAATCACTTAAGTATTCAACAATAAATGATCGGTTAAATAAACTAGGGTATATCTATATGATGAAATACTATGTAATCTTTCAAAATGTTGTGGAACTATATTCATTGATATGGAAAAATTTTATAATCCAGTGTTATCCAACTTGTTAGATAACATAGGCAGAAAGTAAACTCATATGCAGTCTGACCTCGTTTGGGAAAAGTACACACATATTCTACAAAATGTGTAAATACAAGCACTCATAGAAAATGTATTTACATATGTACAACCACTTGGACAACCAAAGTGATTATTGCTGAGAGATAACATTTCAGATGATGTTATTTTCTATGTGTGAGCTCATCTCTATTTTTCCAGATTTCCTAGAAAGAATGTATACAACACACTTAACCACACAAAGGTTTTTATTTTTGTGGTGGTGGTGGTTGCTGAAGTGGCTGAGACCCAACCAAAACCAAGAACCAAAACCCGAACCCGGAAGCCCAAAGCCAAACCCCAACCCCCGGGCCCCCTCAAAAACCCCGCCCCCTGGGCCCAAGGTCCCCGACCACAACGCACCGTTTGGCAGTCTCACCATGGCCAGCCTGGGGCAGAAACCAGGTGGCCCGAGTACCCACCTTTTTGAAGAGTCTGATGACATCCTCGCTGATCTGGGAGAGGCGGACAATGACATTGTTCATGAAGATGTCGTTGAGGGTGGCATGGTCTCTGCTCTCCCGCCTGGTCTGGTGCAGGACTAGATACCAACAGTTCACGGGCGAGAGGAGATACTGGTCTTTCCTATAGAAACCAAGACAGCTCATTGGAATTGCCATCCACAAATGTTCTACACTGTCACCCACCACAGCTCTTTTGACCTTGGTGGGGCCCTTTCAAATTTGTTTTCCTATAACACATTTAACAGCGACAGAGACCATGAGGGCTGAAGCAGTCCTCCCAAGGTCACAGAGCAGTGCTGGGGCCACTTTGCATCAGTGTTTCCTTAGGAAATGAAATATTTCTGTCTTCTCTGTGCTTTACCCAAGACCCCCTGTTAGCCTCAGGAAAGTGTGTATATACCCTGGTGTCCAGGAAGAGTGAAGGACAAGTAGAAACCAGTGTCAGACCAATAACCCCATGTGGCCACACAGGGCAACAGGGCTGTGTTCTTGACCTATAACCCTTACTCCACTTTCCCAGGTGGGAAGGTGATGTTGAGGCAGAGGCTCATTCATCACCGTAGGGTGCCTGGCCCAAGGTCTGATGCCCCAGGCCTGCCTGGCTCCCCCTGGGGGCTGGCCAGGGTTCTCTCAGGAAACGCAGCCTCCTATCAGCACTTTTGAGGAGGGGAATTTGGCTGACTCCCAGAATAACCATACCATCCTCCCAAAGTCAAGTGGAATTAAGGGAGAGGGGAGCCCTGAGGGCCTCTGGGCAGCTGTGACTGCCCCCCCTTACTCCACCCGAACCCTGGGCTTGGGAAAGATAGGTGAGCAGAGGCCAGTTGACTTTCCTATCGCCAAATGGGCTAAAAATCTGTCCAGGAAACAGGAATCTGGGAGAAGAGAATTTGGTTTATTTTTTTGTTTGTTTGTTTCATCTATTTTTATTAGTTGGAGGCTAATTACTTTACAATATTATGGTGGTTTTTGCCATACATTGACATGAATCAGCCATGGATTTACATGTGTTCCCCATCCTGAACCCCCCTCCCACCTCCCTCCCCATCCCATCCCTCTGGGTCATCCCAGTGCACCAGCCCCGAGCACTTGTCTCATGCATCCAACCTGGACTGGTGATCTGTTTCACACTTGATAATATACATGTTTCGATGCTGTTCTCTCAGATCATCCCACCCTCGCCTTCTCCCATAGAGTCCAAAAGTCTGTTCTATACATCTGTGTCTCTTTTTCTGTCTTGCATATAGGGTTATCGTTACCATCTTTCTAAATTCCATATATATGTGTTAGTATACTGTAATGGTCTTTATCTTTCTGGCTTACTTCACTCTGTATAATGGGCTCCAGTTTCATCCATCTCATTAGAACTGATTCAAATGAATTCTTTTTAATGGCTGAGTAATATTCCATGGTGTATATGTACCACAGCTTCCTCATCCATTCGTCTGCTGATGGGCATCTAGGTTGCTTCCATGTCCTGGCTATTATAAACAGTGCTGCGATGAACATTGGGGTGCACGTGTCTCTTTCAGATCTGGTTTCCTCGGTGTGTATGCCCAGAAGTGGGATTGCTGGGTCATATGGCAGTTCTATTTCCAGCTTTTTAAGAAATCTCCACACTGTTTTCCATAGTGGCTGTACTAATTTGCATTCCCACCAACAGTGTAAGAGGGTTCCCTTTTCTCCACACCCTCTCCAGCATTTATTGCTTGTAGACTTTTGGATAGCAGCCATCCTGACTGGCGTGTAATGGTACCTCATTGTGGTTTTGATTTGCATTTCTCTGATAATGAGTGATGTTGAGCATCTTTTTATGTGTTTGTTGGGGATTTGGTTTAGACAGAGGATGGATAGGTTAGAAACCTCTAAGAGAAAGAAAGGAGACATTATGCTCTAAGATAAACGAAGCGGCTTCTCCTTTGCTTTTAGCCTAGAGAAAAAGCCGGAACACTGAAATCCAACAGCCCAGCCTCCTATCCTCCCAATCTCTCTGCATTTGCTCTATGTCAGGTCTCAGGTCTCAGGTCTCAGGTCTCAGCTAAGGCAAAAGGATTACAGTGGAAGGTGCTGAACGTTATGATAGAGACGTGCAGAGCATCCATTCTGCGTGAGAAGTTGGAGAAGACGCGGAGTTCCGCCTACGTTCCCGTCACATCATCCCCTGTACTTTCCTGCCAACTTCTCCCCACTGGGGACTTCCCGCGCTCTGTGCAGCTGGAGTGCATGAGCCCCACTTTTCTCCCTGTCTCTGGGTCTCAGCCTAAATGACACCCTCTGGAGAGCATGCCTCAGACCTCACTCTAGGGCAGGAATTCTCAGAGGTGGAGCCCAGCCCAGACGTATCAGCTCCACTTGGAAACTTGTTGTAAATGCAAATTATCGGGGCTACCCTATACCACTTAATAAGAAGTCTTGGCACTGAGCTCAGCATCTGTGTTTTGACCAGCCATCCAGGGGACTGTGAAGCGTACTCAGGTTTGAGGATTTCTGCCCTAAGAAGCTTCCACTCCCCACCCATCGCCCTACTTGAAGTCCTTTGAGAGCAGGAAGTGTTTCTCTCTTAGTTACGATAATCAGTGCCCAGCAACATGCCTGACACATAGCATACGCTGCGGAAGAAAAACCCAACAAGAAGGTGACATTTGTGCTGGGTCCTGAAGCATAGGTAGGAGCTTTCCAGAGAGGCAGAGAGAGATGGAATTGCAGGCAGAGGGACCTGTGGATATGAAACAGTAGCTCCGCAGAGCGAGGAGCAGAAGAGCAGAGCTAAATCCTGAGTGTGTTAGGGGAGGACATAAGGATGGGGAGACCAGTTAAAGGCTTGACTGTGGGGAGCTGAATGCTGGCCTAAAGAGCTGGGGTTTTATCATCTAGGCCATATGGTTCTCAACCCGGGTTGCACACTAAAATCGCCTGGGAAGCTTTTTAAAAACACCAAGATCCAGGCCCCTTCCAAGAGCAATTAAGTCAGAATCTCTGGGGGATAGAGTCTTGGTACTGGTATTTTAAAAACATTCTCCAGAAGAGTCTAATGTGCACCCAGTGTTAAGGATGCCTGCTGTGGGCAGCGGGGAGTCATGGAAGTTACTTAAGCAGAGGTATGATCTAACCAATGTGTATCTTACAAAGATCACTGAGGGCAGACTGGAGGATGGTGGATGGATGGGTGGGTAGATGGATGGGTGGATGGGTGGGTAGACAGACGAGTGCTGGGGTGGATGGGTGTGGACAGAGGCATGGCGCTGGAAGCAGGAGGACCAATCAGGAGGTGACTCTAGTCCAGGAGAAGAGAGATGAGGGCCTGGGTGGTGGCCAGAGAAGGGCAGATTTAAGAGACTCCTCACCAGGAGAGATGAGAATCTTGAAGACTTCCTAGAAATAGAGAGGAGGTGGTGGCTCAGATGGTAAAGAATCTGCCTCCCAAGAAGGTAGGTCCAAGTTCAATCCCTGGGTTGGGAAGATTCCCTGGAGAAGGGAATGGCTACCCACTCCAGTATTCTTGGGCTTCCCTCATAGCTCAGTTGGTAGAGAATCTGCCTGCAATGCAGGAGACCCAGGTTCGATTCCTGCGTTGGGAAGATCCTCTGGAGAAAGAAATGGCAACCCACTCCAGTATTCTTGCCTGGGAAATCCCATGGACAGAGGAGCCTGGCAGGCCACAGCCCATGGGGTTGCAAGAGTTGGACATGACCTAGCGACCATTACCAAGAAGGGGGAAGTGAACGGTGATTCTGAGGTCTGGATCTCAGGCAACTGGGTGGATGCTGATGACATGAACCAAGATAAGAACTGCAAGGGGAGACGTGGATTTGGGAAGGAAATAGTTCACATCCTATTTCCACTGCTTCCTAGGTGGTGATGGGAATGGAAAGATTACAGGTGAGATGAGATAACTGAGTTGTTACCTACATTACTTTGGGGGCTGAACTCAGCCTGGGGATGCAATAATTGAACAGCATCAAGGAAACAAAAGTACAAAATTTACGGAAGTCACACCAGAAGGTGAGTTTCAGGGGGAAGGAAAAAGATCTTGAAAGGGCGCAGAAGTGCTGGGACAGCTTGGAGACCCTTAATTAGGTCACTTGGCCAGGAAGACTGGATAAGAGAGCAGAAAGGAGCTGCTTTCCTTGGTTGTGGGCAGGAGGCAACACAGCCTCACACAGGATTGCAGGGGTGGCAGAAGGAGCGGAGGCAAGGATAGAATCACCTGGAAGCAACCAGAGACTTGTCAAGCTAAGGTAAGAGGCTGCTGGGAAGATGAAGGCCATGGTTCTTTCAGGCTTTCATTCGCTCATTGTCTGTCTCTGTGTGGACGTACCAGACAGGCAGGCAAGGGGCTGGGCATGCACCAGTGACCGCAGCAAGCAAGACTCTGCTTGTACAAGCCTCCCACTCAGGTAAGGAAACAGAAAGTGATGATGCAGCTTCATAAATGTAGTGACAGGAAGGAGACAATGGGGCAGAGAAGGCCCCCTAGCCCAGATCTGGTGGAGGGGTGAGCATGGGTGGATCCCTAAGGAAGCACTTGCTAGACTGAGAACTCGAGGCTGGAATGGAGTTTGACAGGCAGAGTTTCTAGGTGGAGAAATGTAATGAACAAAGGCCTAGACAGAGCAGATTAGTGAGCTGAACCACAGTTAAGGGGGTTCGAGCATGGTGTCCTGGGGTGATGGGGGGAGAATGAAAAACGAGGCTGGAGAATCAGGCCGAGGCCACACAGGCCTTTAAGTCTCAGTAGAGTTTGATCTTCATCCTGATGTTGGCCAGGGGTCATTGAGTGGTTTAGAGCAAGGGGGTGAAAGGGTGGAATTTCACATTCAAACTCTCACTCTGGCTACTGTGTGAGGACGAACTCGAGGGGGCCACAAGGGAAGCTGAGAGATTCCAGAAACATGTAGGTGGTAAACTGACTGCACCCTGAGACTGGCTGGTTGGAAGAGAAAAGAAGATGCTCAGAATGACTCCAAGTCTCCCAGGTTGGGCCCCTGAGAGCAGGGTTGGCATTTACTGAGATGAGGGCACTTATAGAAGCAGGGCAGGGAGGGAGGGTGATGGGTTCCTTCTAAAGGGCGTATGGAACACCCAGAGGATGGCATCTGGGCTAGAGAGACAAATGTGGAT